AGTACCGTATAAGAAATCGGCCTTCATTGGCTTAAGCAACTTTCCAACAGAATGAACCCCTTCCTTTCAAGTCATTTAACGATTATCATGTATGATAACTGATTATCGAGGAACACTATTTTCAAAATTAAACCCTCTACTTTTCCAACCTCACTTTCTATGAAGATTAGTTAAAACTTATGATAATGTACATAGACAGAAACTACACGATATATCCGTAAGATTATACTCGCAAAACTCCAGATGGTATTATTTTTATACGATCTGTGCTATCTATAAAGTGAAGAACGCATTATTGCATTGTCCAACTTAAATGAGCATATAACTATAATTGTTATTTTGATAGTGGTATCTAATACGTGCGGATCCGACGTATGCATGTAAAAATATCGAGAAATATGATTCTGTCATATTATCTTTGTATAGCTCAATCTTTGTCCCTCTGTAAAGATGCACGTATAAAAATTAATAACATTCCAAAAATATCTATATGATGTCAAATCTCCTATCCACTCAACTTTATACAAAAAATAACGATAACTATAAGGTAATTATAAACGTAATTTTACTATTGTAGTGTTGATTTATTTTCAGTAATAATTACAAAGATTTAAAAAATGGTTAAAGTGTTCTCATAATTTCAGAATTTCTTTAATTTCTCTTTTACTGTACACACAAGCTTATATATGACATTCTTTAAATACTTTATTTAATTTTCAATAACTATAAAAAGTGAATATTATCAATTTCAATCCAATCATATCCTTATAAAACTATCTTTTGTTAAACAAAATTGAAATTTTTTCACATTTAATTCACCTGAAATTAAAAAAAATACAACTAATTTTTTCTCATAAATATCACCTCCAAAACATTCTCCCTTATTAATACATTAAGACTGTTTTAGATAACTAATTTAATTACGTGCTATTTTTGTTATGGAACCTTTTCAATCATATCCAATATTATCTGCTAGATTAGATAAGAACACGAATTTTAATAAATTCGGCTTAAATCATTCGGCGCAATGGACGAATGCTGCAATCCCCTATCTTCTTTAAATACGGATTAATTAAGACGACACTTTACATAATTTATTGAATTCTCTATTTGTTTTTAAATATATTGACTTGCTTACTAATTTCTCTTGTGATCTTGCGAAAAACAAAACAAAATATTTCAATCGATGCGATTAAAATCGATTTCTTATCGATTTAGCAAGTAATCATTAAGTGCTGGCATCATAAAAATTTATTATTTATTATTTATTATTTATTTTTTATTGTTCAAAATTCTTCCTGTACACATCCACTTTTTTGAACAATCAGTCGTAGATAAGATTGTGGCATTAAGTAAGAGACATGCTTGTTAAAAAGCTTAGAAATATACATCTCGCCCACTCTTCAAAACATAATTGTTTATACTTAGATTTATTTCAAGCCATTGTATTATACACAGTTATTTTAAGATTTTATATTAGTCCGACGTCACGAGGTATTTAACTCCAATGAAGGAAAAGGCTTATCTTTGACGCGTGAATAATTTATAAGGATAATGATGCTGAAGGGTTGATTTAAGTGAAATATAAAACGTGTTATTTATTAAACATGACTGCATTTACATAGATATGTTTCTTATTTTACTCTCTTTGAAATGTCGTCGCATTTTATGTGTAATTTTCGATCTGACAGTTTAAGTGGATGTTTGATTAATTTAGGCAAACAAATAATTCAACAGGAAATCATGAATGGGCTTTTTTTAGCGATATTGTGATGCTTATAATGTGTGTAGTAATATAAATTGTTCAATCTCTGCAATATATACCTAAGATTTTAGATTTCTTAGAACGTTTTGATCCGTATTTGCGACCTGTTCAATATAAAAGCTGCTTGCAGATCGTTTCTAGCAAAAGGTAAAATTTAATTGCATATTTCAGTTTGCTTAAATAAATAATTGCACTATATTTACAATATAGAGTACCATTACTTGCTTAATACTTAATGCTTTTATCGATCAATAAGATATTTAATGAATGTTAAAGCAAATAATGCAGTTAATATCAATAACATAAAAACAATAAGAACAGTTACAGTTATTCCAAGAAGTGAACGTTGTTGATAGGTTAACAAACGCATATACAAGTTACTTTATATTAATTGAATATATAAATAAATCAACAACCTTGTTTATTGATCCTAATATTTTCTCGTTAGACTGTTATTAAATATGGTTTAATTCAGTTACTTTCAGTGTGTTTATATATATTTTTAAAACAACTTTTATATATATATATATATATGTATAATATATGCTGTACATCATACTCCTTACGAAATAGTTTGCGTAGAGAAGTATGTCTAGCTATCGGAGAAGTAAGCGCTTTGTCTCACTTACAGTACCAAAACTATATAAAACGTAACAATTTAATAGTTGAAGACCATAAATGATTTATGCTTAAGAAAAACTGAGTTTTTTATTCGATTATTTATACGTACGATACACTTAAATAGAATAGTGTTTTAAGATTAGCAATTATTAAGTAAAGCTATCAAAATATCGGTATAGACATGTTTATCAAATCTTCTTGGAAAAGTGTTCGAACTCATTTGACTTATCATAAATATTTTGTTACAAAAAAAATGCAAATTGGTAGTTACTACTGTAAATTCAAGTATACTGGCTATCATTGTGCTTGTATACTGGCTATCACTGTGCTTGTGCAGCTTAATGGTATAACTCTTTTTGATAGCCTGCTATGATTATACTCTACTTTCTCGTATTATATCTTAAGAATATATTTTCATCCATTTTAATAGTATAACAATAGCCTCATTTAAACTTCATATGTGTTTTGAAAACGAAAGCTACTTATAATGAGAACAGGAAACACAAGACGAACAAGGATATCGATTGTACTAGAATGAAAAGTCTGTAGTCGTGGTCTAGGACTAAAGCCACATCCGTGGGATCATTGTAATATCGATTTATGTGAAGTTGTGATGGACATGATAGACCATTAAAAGATCTTTGAGAGTAACAGGCTTCTTAAGCTTGTTCACAGAAAGATCGTCAAACTCAGAAAGAGATGGGTTTACAGGAATTCTACCAACACGTCAATATTTATAGATGATAGATGCATAGCTTTCTCTTCCGTACTTTCATGTGGAATTATATCCGAGAGAAGAAAGCCTTTTAGGAGAAATACATTAGAAATGTCTGTTCATTCCAGAGAGCAATGCATCGAGCTTTATCATAAAGAGAAAGTTATGGTAGGTAAGTTGACCAAAGACATCGTTAAATCAAACGGGAAGTGCGAGACTTATATTTTGCTAAAAGCTTAACAAGGATAACATAACATCCACTTATTCATAAACGTTTTTCAAGTGCAAATCACAAAGTTTACACTAAAAGGAATTATAGAACTCTGGTTTACTTACTTATAACGTATTTATAACATTTCACAGTAATAACTTAATAATAACTTTTCAATTATAATGTTCCAGCTTGCAAGTATAAAGGAAAGTAAATAGAGACTCGTTCTCCTCACGAATTAATTCTATGCGTAACTTGTATAATATATATTCATATGTCTATGTTTTGTTAATTCACTGTCTCTAAATAAAATACTATTCATTCTGTTGGCAGTTTAGCATAATAAATCTGAATCAAAATGTGATTATGTTTCGTAAATATCTTTGATCCTACTTGACTTGTTTTAAATTGTATTTTAAGCATTATAAATATTTTGAATTGTTCGCATACTTTACTTTGTATTTTAAGCAGTTTAAGTACTCTGCTTATTAATTCATTTTGATCATATTTATCTTCTTTTAGATTGTATTATAAGAACGTTAAGTTCTCTGCTTAATAATTACTTTTGTTCCTATTTAACTTTCTTTAAGTTCTATTTCAAGCGTCTTAAGTTTTCTGTTTAATAATTACTTTTTATCCCATTTAACTTTCTTTAGATTTTATTTTAATCACATTAAGTTTTTCGCGTCACTTGTAAGTTGAACATTTCATGTTTAAAAGTTATTTTGTAAATAAATATTTTTATTGGTACTGTGCTGTTACGGTCAAGATAGGTTCAGTGGAAACTTAACAGCTCATATACCTACAAATCGCTGTTCGATCCCTGAAGTGGATACAGCGCAGACAGTTTATAGTGAACATTTACTTTTAACACCACAACAAACACAAATTTGCTGGAATCAATTAAAAATTAAAATGAGCATGATTCTGACAGATAACTCTTTTACTGCAGAATGTGAGTACATAACATAAGATAATGACGGCAACAACAATAGTTCTTTCATCTGATGTATTCTTAGAACGTTTCTTTAAAGTCTACTATTTAAAAACTAATAACTACACAAAATTCCTATACGTTAATCCACAATCCTAAGATACAAAAAATATTTTCATTAGAGTACTTATATATATATATATATATTACATTGAGGCTACACATTAAATAAATAAGTAGGAAAAAAATACGAGTCAGTAGCGTTAAACTAGAATAATATAATGCATGCAAAAATGATTATTAGCCAATTATTTTCAAGGAATTACATAATAAAGGCATTACTCCCAATAACAAGTGAATTTTGATACCGTACTGAAGATTTATTCTCGTGTATACACAATACGATGTTCTTACTTATACACTTTGTACATAGTTCAAAATTAATATTACACATCTTTAACATTAGACGTTTTGCGATGTAGCTTAAAGATTAGTTACAATTTTATTATAATTATGAAGTTATGCACTCATTATAATTAAAATCAAAAATACGTAGCTGTAAGCTTAGTGTATTATTTTAAATATATTTTTATGCTGAAAATTAAATATAGTCATGAAAATAAAATCTTAATTTATAAAAGTATAAATTAGCTGTAAAATAAAGTTGAATAAAATTTTATAAAGAAAAAATATAAAGAGTAGATGATGATATGAAAAAAATAAGTGTTTGTAAGAAAGGAAGCTGGAAACTTACCCAGAAGTAGAAGAGTTGAGAATATAGCAATCCGAAGTATAAGTCTTAGAAGTCGCCGTATGGCCAACAATGAAAGCTTCTTTGTTTGCAGATGTGAGTACTCCTGAGCTTCCAACATCCCGTAGGTTGTGTATCAGACAGAATATACAACCCCAAAACTTTCATAAAAAAATTGATTAGGAGAATATTTTTTGAATAGATTAAAAAATGTCCCCATGAACATTTTGAACACGTTGACAAGTGGCATACAGTATAGTTGTCGGTCATATCATGAACCGTGGCAGAAGCCAGAAAATGAGACGTTTCATCTCTTCACTAGCACGCGAACCAGCAGATTTCTTGAAGTGTTGGTGGGCTATCAGCATCACCGGAGTTCTCTGCTTCCGCACGTCATCGCACAGAAAAGTCACGTGGTCGCGGGAGATAGAACATAGTTAAAGAGAGCAAGTTTAAATACAGAATAACTCCTTGATGTTTATTTTTAAAATAATTAGTGATCAACAAGCAGATATATATGTACTTAACATTTGAAATGATTGAATTATGCAATGCATAAAAATTGAACCGATATGTGCTTAACGGATAACCAAAATAGATTAAATTTGACTTCACAACTAAATAGATGAAAAGAAAGAAATGATTTGGGTAATTTCGTAAAACAATGACGAAAAACTGAAAAATATGAAAACTTGAAGACATTTATTCTAAATATCGAAGTATCAAGGTAATTTACTGAGTATTCCTTACAAACATGAATGCATTAGAACAGGTTAAAGTTCACAATGTTATATAAAGCAAAAGTAAAGTAACCTTGAAAGAACTGAGAAAATAATGTGTCTTCTTGCAGTACAAGCATCTGCTCCACATTAAAGGTTTTCACCTGCTGTAAGATAATTTCAGCTACTGAATTCGAGGATCTACTTGAACATTGTAAAACTCTAGTTTCCTGAAACTTTACAGTATTTAACGAATTTGTTGTTATATATTTATTTTAATATCAATGTTGTTTACAGTAAGTTTATATTTAGAAACATGCGTAGCTTATAGTGTTAGATATGTATTGCGAAATTCTCGCCTATTCTCCAAAGTTGTAGAAGATTCTCGAGAGTAAGAATCAAATATATATGTATATACTTAAACGTTTAAATGTAGCTCAATATTATTACATAAAACTGAATTTTCTAGAAAACCTTCCCACGCTTATAAATACAACCAACGCGACGCGCCAAAGAGAGTGTCTAT